ATGAATAAAGTATAATTAATAAAATAAAAAAAATTCATTACTGTGGAGACAGTGGAATTTTTGTAGGTTCAGAGGCTAATTACCTTATCTTGGGCTAGTCTTAACCCTCTGGAACAGCCATTTCTTGCCCACCTCTGTGTCAGAACTAACATCTTGTGGCTTAAGTGATGGAACCTTTGACCTCTATTAACTTGGCAGATCACAAGCTCCCACCAGTCCAAAGGCTAAGAATGCAGTCAGATAACATCTTGGGCCTATAGGAAAGTTCCCCCCTTCTCAGTGTATGTGCCTCTCTGAGGTACCAACCAATGTATTTCAAACCTGCCTTGATTTATGACTTTCTTTGTTCTGTAAAAACTATAAACCTTCATGAACCCGCTTCAGTGTTGGAACATGGAATTTTGGGTAACTGAAATCTGTGTTCCCAGGCCGTGATCACTCAAAATGACTCCAGAATAAGCTATCTCTTATTCTATTAAAAGGAGGAGGAGGAACAGGACAAGAAGGAGGAGGAAAAGGAGGACAAGACAATTTGCTGTCCTTGCTTGCAGTGGACAGGAGTTTCCAGCACCCAAATCTGGAGGCTCAGAAGCACCTGTAACTCCAGATGCAAGGTATCTGGCCTCCAACTATACCAAGCACACATACCCGTAATTAAAAAAAAAAAAAAAATTATAAACCTTTAGAAACTTTTGTTTTAATTTTTTTAAATGTTTATTGTTTAATGTTTCACTGTTTAAACTTTCGTTGACTGTGTTTATAAATGGGAAAACTAAATGGTCATCAAACACTGTTCTTTAAAATAATTTTCAGAATTAATTTCAAAGCTAGATATAAACACAGAAAGGAAAAATGGCTTTTTGATCTGCAGCTTTAATGCTAGGAATCTACTTGTTTATTTATCGTGTGTGTGTGTGTGTGTGTGTGTGTTTGTGTGTGTGTGTATGTGTGTATAGTACAGGTGAGCATGCCATGGCAGGTCAGGCATCTTCCAGGATTTCATCCTTTCTACCCAGAGTGGTACCTAGAACTTGAACATAGGTAATTAGGTTAATTTGGAAGCTTCTTCACCCTCTGAACCATCTCCCCAACCTAGGAACTTTTTTTTTTTTTTAATTGAGACAGGGTTTTATAATGTAGCCCTGGCTGGCCTGGAACTATGTAGACCAGGCTGGTTTTGTACTCACAGAGATCTGCCTGTCTCTGCCTCCCTAGTGCTGGGATTAAAGGCATTTGTCCCCATGCCTAGCCATGTTTTCCATTTTAATATATGCTCATTTAACAGCCTTTATTCTTGGAACAGAAGAATCAGACTAGGAAAACATAAAGATCACTAATCTGGAAAGCTTATGAAACAGTTTCTTTAAAAACTCTTTCACCATGCATAAAAGTTTTCATCAAGGGGAAACTACCACATAAGGGGATACTGTTCCATTTCAGGCATTTCTAAGTGTTAACAGCTCCCTTAAGTAGACCCCGATCAGCTTCTCTGCTTAACTGCAGCAATTCTCGGATGCACTTCCACTTTGGGCCACTCAGAATAAGTCTTGTTCCTCACAGCCAACCTTTTAATATTTTGAGAGCTCTCATGACGCCTGACGTCCAAATGTTGCCTTATCTCGCAATAAGACAGCCTCTCACCAGGGTGCTCTAGAGGAAGAGAGCTGACACGAACGAAGACACATATTACAAGGGGATTTACTCACCAGTTACAGGAACTGGTCCTGGTAGTCCAGTAACGGCTGTCTTACCCCGGAGAAGCAGAGGTTCCCGGAGCTGCTTCAAGTCTTACCATTTCCAGTCTGGGGCTGAAGACCTCAGGGGTTCCTGGACAGCCACTGTCTTCAGTCTGTGTCGGAAGCCTGAAGAAGCTGGTTCGAACAGCACCAAAGGGATACCACAGCAACAAGACAGAAAGACTATGCAGAAGAAGGGAAGGCAAACTATAAAAAGCAGCTTCCTTCCCCCACATCCTTTCATCTGGGCTGGCACCAAGAGGTGCCGCCCACATTCAGGGTGGGTCTCTCTGTTCAAATACTCTGACCAAGAAAATCCCTGGCAGAAGTGCCCGGCGGCTTCTGTTTTAGTTGATTCCACATTTGGCCAAGGTGAGAACCAGGATGAATCATCACAGTGACCTATAAAATGTCTCCTACATTCTGACCCAGTAATCACACTTTGTAAAATACACCAGGCAGAAATAGCTCAAAATAAGGAGTAAAGTTGTGCAATCCATGTTATACTTTCCTTTGCACAACAGAGAAAAACTTAAAATAGTACAAATCCCCTGAAGTTGAAAGCAACTTAACAAATGACAGGCATCTACTTGATGCGTTGACTGAAGACAGTATGTGTAAAGACTTAGCTTGTTTTCTTTGGGACAGGATCTTCCTATGTAGCACAGGTTACCCTTGAATCTGCCATGTAGCTCAGGCTGGCCTCAGATTTAGGATTCCTCTGCCCCCTGAGTGCTGGGATTATAGGTATATACTACCACAGCCGACCTGTGTGTCTTTTGTTTGCAAATAACCTCAAGAGGACAAAATAGTAAGAGTCAAATTCAGGAAAGTGGGAAAGATCTGAAACCGACCCTAACCCCCCAACTCCCATTCCTAACCAGTTTCTACCTCTCCCGTGTTCCCACCTCTGTTCCTGTTCCATGGGGACTTTCACTCCCCTTACAGTCTGCACCTGGACTGACAGAATCTTTGGAGGGCTGACCAGACACTAGCTGGGAAAGGATCGGTGAAAAACAGATGCAATTCCTAGCTTCACGAAGTTTGTTTTTGTATTTCATGTGATAGGGGGTGGGTCTACAGCATGAGGCAGGGAATAAACAGACAAATAAACACATAGTAAGATAGATACGAATAGTGTGGATAATAGAACAGAGTGAGACCACGTCAGAATGGCTAGTCACCAGCTACACATAGGGCTCTTGGGACAGTGAGGCGAGAGAAAAGGTGGTATAATACAGTTCTTTTTTTTTTTTTGTACCTTTACAGCTAAAGCACTATAACTTTACAACTTGGTTAAAAGCGGAAGCTCTGGAGTCAGACACCTGGGCGTAAGCCCTGGCTTCCTCTTGTATTGTGCAGCTTATGGAAAGTTACATAATTTCAATAAAGTGAATCTCTTCTTCTATGAAACAGGTATACATACAGATACAGTGAATACATACAGATACAGTGAAAAGCGTGAGCCTGGTACCTTTCCTATCTGACTTTAACCTTATCCTTCACAGCACCTGTCAAAGAACACATATCAACGCTCATTACCTTGTGCATTCACCCGTAGGTAAGAGTTGCTGTGGAGAAAGGGCTATTAACCACTAAGAGCACATACACCGTGTGCGGAAACTCCTGCGAAAAAGGGCTAATTTGTATCCCAGAACCGGAATCCAAACTCCTTCCTCTCACCAGTTCAAAACTTTTTAACGGACCCTTATTCCATCGCATGTGTTTACATCCATTGCCCAGCTGTGGGAGACCCCGCATTCTACCAAATGATTGGAGGATAAGGAATGTTACGTTCCAGGATGAGAAGATCCCATCGCGCCAGACAGAGACTAGATGAACTAGATTTGAGGCAATGATGAGTAAGCTTCATAGACCGTCCTCTGAAAACATTTCCCAAGAAGGTCTGCCAGTGGGCAGTATGTACCGGGCAGACACCAGGGGGTAGCAAAATCCCGCTCTCTTGGCTTCCTGTCACTAGTTAACACAGAGACTGGAGAGTCTAGCTTAGCTGGAAGGTTGGAAATAGCTCCAAGGTTCCAGCCGGCGGGCGGGTCACGGGGTTTCCCTGCCCGGGATTCCGTTTTGACCCTACGAACCTATGAATTACGTTTCTCCCTTCTCCAGACCCACAGGAGAAAGGGCAGCGTTTAGCATCCTGAGGAGAGAGGAGCCTGCCACCGGGGTCCTTCCCTCCTCTCCTGCTGTTGCGGCCTCATCGAGCATCTCACTACCTCAGTCTTCTAAATAAACTTTACCCTCCAACTGCAATGACAACGCCTTCCCGCCCTCGCTGGGAACTCGGTAGCTTCAGATCGCCTCCCAAATGTCCACCTTTTGGCCAAGTCCTCTGTGACTCAGAGGGGCAGGGCAACCCCTTGCTGTGCTAAGGTCCCTCAAGCCCTTCTGGGGGACCCCGCCCGGCCTTCATTTTCCACGCAGAAGAGGTACTTGCAGTTTGTCGGTGAGGCAGAAGGGGTGAGGCTGGAAATGTTTAAAGGAACCTAGACCCTTTTATCTGTCGTGGAAGATAATAGCACCACGAGCCCTAGCGAACAGGCCACTATCGCTCTGCAGCAAGAAGGAGCGATCTAGCGTCAGTCCCGGAGCGCGAGGTCTAATCCGGGAGCTGCTGCCCCCCCTCCCTCCATCGGAAGAGCAACAGGGGTATGAGGTGCAGAAAAAAGCAGCGAGGAGCAACTCCAAAAACGTCCTCAGAACCCTACAGAGGGCTCCTGATCCTGGAACCCAGGCCCCTCAGCCATGACACCCCCAACCCTCAACGCCAAGCCTTTACTCCTCCGTAATTCCCCCATCCCCCGCCCTCCCCGGGCAGCACACAGGAGCCCATTGTAGTCGCCTGGAGGCTCGAGACCCAAGAAGGTGGAAAGAAGGGCGGGCAAACGCCCAAGGCTTGGGGGATACCCTCATTTCCCCGGCTCTACCTAAAGGGAACCAAAGCGTGGGGGGTCGACCTGGGCCCCAGGACCTTGCCAAGTCTGGACACGGACGGGAGAAGTGTCGTGGGCCTCAGAGAAGGAGGAAGGCTTCTGGCCACCGGGCTACCTCGATCCTAGGCGGGTCCCCGGCCGGGTCCCGAGCTGAGGCTGAACCGATCCCGCGGAGCGGGAAGACGCGGGAAAGCCGGGGCGTCCTCAGCGGGGCGGGTTCTCGGAGGGGGCGGGGCGGGCTGGCCGCAGACAGCCAGGGGAGCGGAGGCGAGGCCGACGACGAGGGGGGCAGGGGGCCGTCTCGGCTGGGGTCCCGGGCTGGGCGGGGCCGTGCAGGCGGCCGTCTCGGCCCTCCCTGGCGGGGCCCCCGCGGCCTGGGCGCCCGAGCGAACGGGCAGAGCCGCGGTAGCGGCGAGCTGTCCTGCAGCTAGACCCGGGGAGACTGAACGCCGCGAGGGGAGGCGGTGGCTGACCGGCCCCGCCCGCCCGAGGTCGGACACCCACAGACGCCCAGTCATGGTGAGTCCCGCGTAGCACCCCCCGCGTCCCCTCGGCCTTCGCGCAGCCCGCTCCGGGCCCCAGCCCCGTGCCTCCCGCGCCCGCCTAGCGCTGATCGGCGCCGGAGACTCTCCACCCTCCCATCCCCCCGCTTCTTTCTTCGACCTGCCGGCCCGCTGCCTGCCCAAGTCCTCCCCGACTATTGCCTTGACCCTTCCTTTCTCCTCTGCCTCGTCTTCCCCACCCCCCGTCCTTCCGTGGTCTTTGCACACATCCCACCCCTGGCCTTCTCGGTCCTGCCCAGTCCTTTTTTTTTTTTCCCTGAGTTTTCCCTCCCCCTCCCTATCCCAGCTTTACACTCCTGGAGACCCTCCCCGAGTTGGTCTGGCGACAGCCCTGCAAAGGGTACTGTCTGGGGTCATGAGAACTGACCTGCCTGGAACCACCATTTTCCATCCCTGTCCCCAGCCCGGTGAGATGGGCCCACCCATCCGGCCCTGAGGGACTAGCCACAGCTGTGCCTGGGCCGGGGCCAAAGGGCTTGTCCAAAGGGAAATTCCCTCACAGAAAGGGGGCTGTTTGAGGGTCGGTCAGGGGTGTTCCGCAGTACCAGTGGGCGTGGCGTTGCCAGAGCCCAAACCAGAGTTTTGGGGACAAAGTTCCCCAAGGCGTACTCCGATGCAGGGAACAGAAGCCTCGGGGCACTCCTGATGCTGGGAGGGAGCTGGATGGAATCTTATGCACGAGGTGATGGCTCCGAGAGCAGCGATTAAGGGTACCAGAAGCCCTTGTCGACGGGAGCGAACACTCAGCCGGGAACTTTCCGGCCAGAAGTGCTCTGAAGAACTCTGGCAGGAGCAGGCTCTGCTAGCTAGGGTGCCCACTGCCCGGGAGGGTGCAGCCTACAGCGTTCACTGCAGAGTGGAGGAGGAGGAGAGGCCCTGCCGGGGCGATGGCTACGGAAAGAACCCGGGAAGCATCTCCCCGCTCAGGGGGTTGGAGCAAGACAGGAACTAGGCCAGTGAGAGCTGACTCAGTCTCGCTCGTCTTTTTGGTCCCAGCCGACCAGAGGCCTGGTGTCTTGGGCTCCTGCCCACCTCCGCCTGCTCCAGACCCCTCCTCCCCTCCTGCCGAGGCCGTTTCCTGTGGCTGCGACTCTTGTTCAGCCATGAGCTCACCGCCCCTAATGGGTTGCAGCTGCTTCGCTGCTCAAGCAATAGCTCCCCGGATCCTAACTTCAGAGCAGGGGCCCACTCAACCTCACCCCTACCCTGCTTCCCACCCACGTACACAGTCCCGGGAACACTGAGGGGTCTGTCTGCTCGCCCACACCTCGGAGCTGAGTTTGTGCGCTGATAACACAGAATGCTGGTCTCTGGGGTGACTGAATACCCTAATCTTTTCAAACAGCCGGGATTAAGCAACTCTGGCTGGAGAGATTTAGGAGCAAAATAAGTAATTTTTGTTTTGTGGTGAAAGCAGGACCATCTGCAATGAGCAGAGAGCTAGGTAAACACTGCAGAGTACTTTCCTTATTTGCAACAAAGACATCTGATAAAAGGAACTGAAAAAGCCATCTTGAAAGAGACTTGCCAAGAAATAGACCCAAGGGAATGAGGACAAGAAGGGTGTCCCAATGATTCACTTAGGGAGGTAGGTCAGAATGGGACACAGCTTAGTCTTTGAGACAGTGGGTCCAGGTTGTCAGACTGAACCCCCTGGAATTAGAAGGAAAAAAAAAATCAACTGGAATGCATAGCATCAATTCTCCAAGAGTTCCATCTGTGTCTTTATCTTCTTTCAAATGGCTCAACCCAATTCCTTGTAGCCAATCCCCCAGGCTCTGGAAATGGAAGAAAGGGATGCTACAAAGACCTGAGCTAGCCACAATCTTCTCCCCCACCCCCCCACCCCCGCCTATCAACCAACCATCTCCAGGATGCAATGGTTTGTGAGTGGGCACACACTCACTCCAAATATAACGAGGGTATCTGTGTGGTGAGGTCTGGGAGAATCTGTTGTCAAGATGGCTATGTAGAGACCCCACCTCCCACCCCCATCCACCAGAATTCTTAACCATCAGCTGGGTCCAGTGGCCCAGCCTGTCTCTTTTCTCCTGGGGTGAACCTATGCAATCACCTTAATTAACAAGTGCCTGGAACAATCCTGATCAGAGGCACCCTAACAGATTCTCTCTGGGTCGCTAAAGTCGCGGGCACAGAGGTTGAACATGAAGCGCTGCTAAGCCTGTGTGCACTGACCAGCCAGGTTTCTTCCATCCCTTGGCTCCTCCGGCCAGCATTTTCTGATTACTCACTGTGTACGTACGATATAGGACATGGCCGTCTGCAGACCGGCCAACTCCCAAGGAGCCATGCTCGCCTAATCCCTAGATGTCTCTAGCTTGGTGTTTTCTCTCCCAGGAGCCTGAACCAGTGGAAGACTGCGTGCAGAGCACACTTGCTGCCTTGTATCCACCCTTTGAAGCCACAGCCCCAACCCTGTTGGGCCAAGTGTTCCAGGTGGTGGAGAGGACGTACCAGGAGGATGCGCTGAGGTACACGCTGGACTTCCTAGTACCTGCTAAACACCTGCTTGCCAAGGTCCAGCAGGAAGCCTGTGTGAGTGGCTGTCAACCCTTTTCTGCCAGGCTGATTTCCTCCCGCTTAGAGACACACTCTTCCCAATACTGTTCTCCACAGGAGCCCTTAGGTCTCATCTGCTGGTTTCCCACTAATTGTGACTACTCAGATACTAACACATGCGCAGGCATATCCATTTTCGGTAAACACAAATGTTGACTCCCCCTAAAAGACCCTGGCTTTTCCAGAACAAGTTTCAAATATTATCTCCTCGTGACTGTCTTAAAAACACTCCCTCAGAAAAGATTCTCCTTTTCTACAGACACAAAGACTCATAGTCTTTGAGTCCTCTCGGACAAAGGCATCTGTCAAACAGGTCTCTGTAATGAGTGGGTCCTCACCTTCCCACATAGACAACGAGCTTTCTAGGAAAGCTCCCTTCCACCAACAGTTTTGGTTCTTTCCCCTGCCACTGTGACCTCCTTTCCTCCCCCTCCCCCCCAGGGGTTTTAACCCACCAGACATGAGCCTATTCCTGCCTAGTGTGGGACTCATTCTCACAGCCCCCTCCTGCTGGTTTCTTCAGCAGGGGCCTTGAGTATAGCCTTTTAACTTCTCTCTCCAGGCCCAGTATAGTGGATTCCTCTTCTTCCACGAGGGCTGGCCGCTCTGCTTGCATGAGCAGGTGGTAGTGCAGCTGGCAGCCCTTCCCTGGCAGCTGCTGCGCCCTGGAGACTTCTACCTGCAGGTAGTGCCCACCTCGGCCCAAGCGCCCCGCCTGGCACTGAAATGCCTGGCCCCAGGAGGTGGGCGGGTACAAGAGCTGCCAGTGCCCAGTGAAGCCTGTGCCTACCTGTTCACACCCGAGTGGCTACAAGGCATTAACAAGGACCGGCCGACAGGGCGCCTCAGCACTTGCCTCCTGTCCGCACCGTCTGGGATCCAGCGGCTGCCCTGGGCTGAGCTCATCTGCCCAAGATTTGTGCACAAGGAGGGCCTCATGGTTGGGCATCGGCCCAGCACACTGCCTCCAGAGCTGCCCTCGGGACCTCCAGGGCTTCCTAGCTCCCCGCTCCCTGAGGAGGCGCTGGGAACCCGGAGTCCTGGGGATGGACACAATGCTCCCGCCGAAGGTCCAGAGGGTGAATATGTAGAGCTGTTGGAGGTGACACTGCCCGTGAGGGGAAGCCCCGTAGATGCCGAGGCCTCAGGCCTCTCCAGGACCCGCACAGTACCCACTCGTAAGACTACTGGAGGGAAGGGCCGGCACCGGAGACACCGGGCATGGATGCACCAGAAAGGCCTGGGGTCTCGGGACCAGGACGGGGCACGCCCACCTGGTGAGGGGAGTAGCGCAGGAGCGTCCTCTCACTCACCCCCAGGAGCTGAGGCAGACCCAGACACAGAGGTGCCGGTGCCAGAGGCATCTGAGCCCCCAGCGGAGGCTCTCAGGGAGGCCTCTCAGTCCTGCCTCCTGTCAGGGGAGGCTGGGGGAGGAGTGGCCCAGGGGGCTGAAGGAGCACCTGGTACCCCTCGAAGAACAGGCAAAGGAAACAGAAGAAAGAAGCGACCTGGCGGCAGAGGTGCTGTTAGCCGTGGAGGGGAGAGTACCCCGCTTGGCCCGAGGGACAAGGAAGAGGCTAGACAGCAGGAAGTCCTTGTCAGTCTGCCCTCGCCCCGAGAGCAGGAACCTGCAGAATGCAGCCTGGTTAAGGAAAGAGAGGATTCTGGGAAGCCAGAGTCTGAATCAAAAGAGGAACTCAAGCCAGCAGAAGAAAAAGAGCCTGCCTCCCCAGAAGACTGTGGGCCTCCAGAAGAGGAGATCAGAGAGAGTGGGCAAGAAGGGTTGCTCCCGGTGTGTATGGCAGGTGAGATGACAATGAGGTTCAGGGACAAAGGCCATGGCAGCCTGAGCCTGGGGAAGGAGCCTGGAAGAGAAGCTGTGGTTAGACTGGGGATAGAATAGAGTAATTCTGCATCTGTCTGCACAGGACCCACAGGTCCAGAATGGCTCCCATCTGACCCCCCAGCCCAGCCCCTGGAGTCCATGCAGGATGGAAAAGAAGACAGCATCCCAGAACAAAGTCCCCCAGTTTCCATTTTGGATGGCCCACTTGTAGCTTGGGACTTGATGTCATCTGGATTCTTCGTTTTGACTGGTCAGTGGGCATCAGCGAGTCAAAGGAAAGGGGCTGGGGAGATGACCCAGGCGGTAAAGTGACTCTTGGCAAGCACAAGGGCTGAGTTCAGATCCTCAGCATCCACATAAGCGCTGGGCATGGCATGGCACCCCGGTGCTGGAAAGAAAGGGAAGGTTCACACAGTGGACTTCTTGCACTCATTGGCCAGCCAGTCTAGCTGGGCCAGAGATTCTCCAGGCCCAGGGAGAGACCCTGGGTTTTTGTTGCTGTTGTGTTTTTGTTTTTGATTTTTTTTTTTTTTTTAACTTGCCCAGCACTCAGGGAGGCAGAGGCAGGCAGATCACTGTAAGTTCGAGCCCAGCCTGGTGTACAAAGCTAGTCTAGGACAGCCAGGGTTACACAGAGAAACCCTGTCTCAAAAAAAAAAAAAACAAAAACAAAGTGAAAAATGATTGAAAAAGACACCTTAGATTAACCTCCGGCCTCCAGATACATGTGGGTACACACATGCAAACAAGGGCATGTTAAACACACCGGTGGGCAAAAGGGGGCTTTGGGAAGGTGAAGCAGTTGAAATGGACTTGGGAGGGAGGAGAGAGGTGGAAGGGAGTAGTTAAAGATTGCTCCCAGCCAGGACAGCCTGGCCATTTTCTGTCTTCAGGAGGGGTAGATCAGACTGGGAGAGCTTTGCTGACGATTACGCCTCCGCCTCCGTGCCTTCCTGAGGAGCCCTCACCCTCCCACGAGACGCTGAAGACCTCTCTTCGTTATCTCCACTCACTGCTCAGGTAAGCGTGCAGACCTCAGCACCCTGGGCATTCGCCTGCTGCGTCAGGAGGACCCGCTTTCCTTCTCACGGCACTGGCCTGCTACCTCAACCCTCAGATTTCCAAGTCATTGACCCTGACCTTGCCAGTTCTGGCTTCCAGGATATCTTCATGATATTCAAAATCAGCACTGCTGACTGTCTCAGTATTCTATGACAGCGCCCGGATTATGAGTGCGCGGATTCATTCATCCGACAGATACTTTGTGAACACTGAGTACCCAGGAGACAAATGCCATGACCTTGAATTTATAGCGTTATAGCACAGGGAGTGCGAGGCCTCTGACCCAATGGTCGTGTCAACATAGGGTCTCGATCGTTAGTTTGCCTGCTGGGCACATGCCCCAGACATTGACCATTTGCTCATTGCTTCTCAAATAAAGCAGTGCTAACTTCTGAAGACTGTCAGCCCTGAACTGGAAGATCTGTGTTCTTCCTGTTCTCTCTCTGCTATCTCCCCAACACACACAGACACATACGCACACCTTTGGCTCTCCTTGCCTCCACAGGCCTGATCTGCAGTTATTGGGACTGACCATCCTGCTAGATCTCCGCAAGGCACCCCCACTGCCTCCAGCACTTATGCCTGCCTTGAGGCAGCTTCAGGTAATCAACTCCCCGAGACAGGCCTGTCCGCTAGATCCTCAGTGTTCGCCAGTGGCAGCCATCCCAGGTCATCCAACTGTCCAAAGTGTAGGGATATTCTTCTTTGCACTTAGGACTCGGGCGACCCTCCGCTCATTCAGCGGCTCGTGATTCTCATTCATGAAGACCCTCCAGCTGAACTCTGTGGACTTCAGGTTGGTTCTCTCTTACCTAGTCCCCATTCAGTAACAGGGAGGGGAGGGAAAGCTTGGTGATCTCTCAGATTGGTCTGAATCACCAGGTGCCTGTGCAGAAAACTCGTTTTCATGTCTACAGGGAGCCGAGTTGCTGTCAGAGAAGGAGCTGAAGAGAGTAGCCAAGCCAGAAGAACTACAATGGGACTTAGGAGGTCACAGAGACCTCTCCCCCAACCACTGGGTAGAGATTCACCAGGTAAACTCCTTCAGGACCTAGGACACTGGGAGCTGGAAATGACCCAGCTAAGGATAGTCTAGGAGAGAAGACACAAACAGACAGTTCCATTCAGCTCAGAAAAGAGTTCTGGCTCATGAGCCTTGAACAGTTATTGTTGGCTATTGGAAAGATGGGAGGAATTTGTTAAATTCTTTTTTATGTATTTACTTTATATGTATGAATGTTTTGTCTACATGTATATATGTCCTCCACATTTGTGTCTGTTGCCCTCAAATCAGAAGAGTGCATCAGATGCCCTGGCATTACAGAAGGTTGTAAGCCACTAACTACGCGGGGCTGAGAACTGAACCCCAGTCCTCTGCAAAAGCAACAAGAACTTTTTTTTTCTTGGTTTGTTGTTGTTTTGTTGTTGTTGTTGTTGTTTTGTTGTGTGTGTGTGTGTGTGTGTGTGTGTGTGTGTGTGTGTGTGTGTTTTTATACAGGGTTTTTCTTTGTAGCCTTGGCTGTCCTAGAACACTATCTGTAAAGCAGGTTGGCCTTGAGCTCACAAAGATCTGCCTACCTCCGCCTCCTGCATGCTGCAATTAAAGGTGTCTGCCATCATCAGCCAACTGCAACAAGGGTTCTTCACCTGTGGATCATCTTTCTAGTCACCACCCAAATTTTTAAATTCTTTTAATTTTTTTTTAAAGATCTATTTCATTTTTAAGCATGTATATATGTCCGTGTGTCTATGAGAGTGAATGCCGTGTGTGTGGGTGTCCTTAGAGGCCAGAGGAATTAGACCCCTGCAGTTGTGAGCAACTTGAGAATGTTGGGAATCAAACCTGGGTCCTCTGGAAAAGCAATACATGCTTTTAACCTCTGAGCCGTCTCTCCGGCTTCCTGCACACACACCCATGCTTGTCAGGTTCTTAATAGGACATTAAGTATTGTATGCTTTCTAGTGGGAGATACTAAGATCTCATAAAACAAGTAGAAAAGGGTTTGTGTTGGTTCTGTGGGTTTCTAGAAAGTTCTGAGAGTTGGGAGGTTGGTTCCACATGGCCTGGTGGGTCAATTTACCTCACCTCCGGAGATGATGTCGTCTCTATACCTGCCCACTGCACCAGTATCCACAAAGTACAGGATCCTTTACCATCAAGTGCACCAGCTAGGAATCTAAGTGTTGTGAGTGTTTCAGAACAGAGGAGTCAGCATGAGCACACTGAAAACAAACAGGGTTTCTCAGCATGCCTGTGTCTCGGAGGGAAAGCAGATGAGGTGGAGGCGGGACTTTGGCAGCATGAAGCCCAGAGGCAAGAGAGGAAAAGGAAGCTCACACCAAGCTGTGCCACCGCAAGCATGCTTGGTGCCAGGCTGACACCATTTCCTGAAATTTTACAAAATCTACTTTTAGTCTAACTTTACTATTGAGTCAAATGAGTTTTGGGGTTTGTGGGCCTGCTCAATATTGTATAACCTGGAAGCAACAAAGTCAGAAACTGAACCCAGCATTATTTCCACTACAGTCTTCAGGACTCTCCTCTCCATCCTGTGATTCCTCTCTCTCTCTCTTCCATTTTCTTTGATATTTTTTGTTTGTTTGTTTGTTTGTTTGTTTTTGAGACAGGGTCTCTCTTCATAGCCCTGGCTGTCCTGGACCTCACTCTGTAGACCAGGCTGGCCTAGAACTCACAGACAACCACCTGTCTCTGGCCTGCATCACCACACCCAGCATATTTCTTATCCTAAACCCTGGCCTTTTACTCCATCTCTGTATGTGGGTTTCAGGAAGTGGCAAGGCTGTGCACCTTGTGTCAAGGTGTGTTGACGTCTGTACGGCAGGCCATTGAGGAGCTAGAGGGAACAGCAGAGCGAAACGAAGAGGTATGGAATGTGAAAGGGATGGGATTGGGGTGGGAACTCTCTGGTGGAACTCAAAATGTTTCATTGTCTCAAGGAGGCAGTGGGAATGCCTGAGCCCCTTCAAAAGGTGCTGGCAGATCCTCGGCTGACGGCACTACAGAGGAACGGAGGAGCCATCCTGGTGCGGCTGCGCTCCACTCATAGCAGCAAGTACGAGAGACGGGTGTGCAGAGGCAAGTGGGAGGGAGATAGCAGAGAGCTGTCCGAGAGCTTCAGTGACAGATAATTCTCACCCTACTTTTATCTGGACAAGATACCATGCCTTTACACTTACATCTTCCACAACAGCCCCGTGTGCCAGCTACGATTAGAAATGGGGACTTGGAGGATGAGAGATGCTAAATGTCTCAGCCAAGCTAATTCACTAAGGGGAGTTACAGTGCGACCCTGATTCACAGTGCCATGACACCTCTGATGTTTGCATGCCTGAAGATAGAAACATGGAACCTAAAAGCTCGGCCAGGGCAGGAGTCAGTGTCGCCGCTCTTTCCCCAGGCTAGAGGGTCCAGGCCCAGCTGTGCTGTACCAGGAGGTCGATGAAGCCATTCACCAACTTGTGCGTCTGTCCAACCTACACGTGCAGAAGCAGGAACGACACCAACGCCGGCGCCAGCTCCAGCAGGTGAGGAGACTCCCGTACCTTCACTTAGCCGGGGAGCCTAGCCTCTGCTCAGAGTTCCTGTTACTACTAAGCATGGATGGCATTCTTCCAGCTCCCCAAATCCTGCCCCTAGAGGTTGGTCACAGAAGTGTGAGAGTCGACCTGAGAGCAGGAACGTCTCGGCACCAGCAAAGAGAAGTCAGGTGGTCTGACTTTTCTGTTTATCTCTGGTCAGAATCACTAGATATTGTGGAAAGTGTCCACCACCCACAGGGAACCCTGGCAACAGCTCGTGGGCTCAGGGTACTCCCGCCTTAGTGTAAAGATAATAAATGTTTTGTTTTGGGGAGTTTCTTGAGGGAGGATCTGATGTAGCTCAGTTGGCCTTGAACTCATTAGTTAGCCGGTACTGGCCGTGGAACTCATGGTGCTTTTGCCTTCGCCTCCCTTCACTGGGATTTCGGGCCTAACCACGAAACGATAAATATCTCGTTAGAGTTGTTGGCTCTACATTTTGCCATGACTCCTTATGCATTGTCATCCTCCAAAATGGAGGGGGAAGGCCCTGTCTCTTCCTATCCTGTGGAAGGAGAACATATTGACAGCCACTACGAGGAAGCACAGGCGTCTTAAGATCCAAGAATAAAAATGACCTTGTTTCTTCTCTTCTGAACTCAAGAGAATCCCCTGTGGGGATTTGCTGTCTACTCACTTTGAGGGGAGGGAGGTTTTAAACCCTGGTTGTTTTCCCTCAGCTCCCAGTACTGTGAGTATATGCCTCACGGACCTGCGCGTGAATGTGGAAGGGTCATTTCAAAGTTGAGCTGAAGGGGAGCCAGGGCTTTGTGTCCAGGGGCTGTTGCCCGTTAGTCTCTGCTCTTCTATCCAGGGGCTGCTCCTACTGATTAGATGTTCCTGCCCTTTTAAAACCCTTCTCTGAGAATAGAATTTGGAGTTTCAAGTGCTTGGCTTTGGGGTCTAGCTCTGTTGGGTATGAGGTGTTTGTTGCTGCTGAGTCGCCCATTCTTACACAGCTAGCACCCACACAGGTGGGTAGATGAGAAGTGAGTTCAACAGGGGACACTGGCCTTTAGGAACGTCCTGAGAATCCTCATTTTCCAGTTGTTCCACCCCAGCTTCCAGACTTTCTTAGAGGAAAAAAAAGAACTTAGTCAAACATTTCAGAACAAGTAGGAGATTCCGTCCAGCTCTACAACAGGAAAGTAGGACTGGACACCCAGTCACACACACACACCATCTTCTGGGCCATCCTGCAGGCGTCATGCCTAGGCTTCTTGCCCACTACTCAGTGGAGCGCAGTGGATGTGAGATTCCTCTTGGTCCTGTTATCCAAGTATCTTTCATCCTCCCGTCTTTGGTTCATATCAGTCTTCTCCGTTTCCTCATCTTGGTCTTGCCCTGGCACACTAACCAGCGTCTCCTGCCAGCTCTGCCTCGCATGGCACTTTGCCAAGGATGACATACCCAGTTTCTCATTTAATCCTATGGGAACAGTTATCCGTCAGTATTTCCAGCCCCACAGCATCAGGGACACAAAATGGGATGACCAAGGGCCTGTACATTGGGATGATGGCAGCTGAGTGGATCTTAGCCTGGCCACGTCGCAGCCTCCCCTTTCCTCACAAGCTCCTACTGGGTCTCAGGTGTTACAGTGGCTCTCTGGCCCAGGGGAAGAGCAGCTGGCCAGCTTCTCCATGCCTGGGAACTCACTGTCAGTCTTGCAAGAGACAGAACTGCGATTCCGGACTTTCAGCACTGAGGTGCAGGTAAGGACAGAGAGGAGGTGGGGGCGGGGTCACTGGGAGGGACTTAAGCATGAACACAGACTCCGTTCTCCAGGAGCGCCTAGTCCAGGCCCGGGAAGCTTTGGCTCTGGAGGAGGATGTCACCTCCCAGAAAGTTCTGGATATCTTTGAACAACGATTGGAGCAGGCTGAGAGTGGCCTCCATCGGGCCCTTCGGCTACAGCGCTTCTTCCAGCAGGTGGGTACAGTGCATCCTTCTGGACTGGTTTTCTCTCTTCAGCCTGGAGAGGTTGGTCAGGCAGTTGTTAGGAATGGTACCTTGGAAGCTCATCTCCTCGGCTTTGACTTTTACCTTGCCCAGGCTGAATGACCGAGCCCTGAGGTAGGTCCTCTGTAGACACATCTGCTATGAAACTTTGGTCACACGCTGTGTGAAAGGGCTTAGTACAAACCTGACTCCATACTGGTATGTATGTCCCATGTATGTGCTGGGTATATGCCCATGCCATCTCTGAATAACGTGCTAATACTGCAATGCTGGGCCTGGGAGAGGAGGGTTGGTGATGGCTTCCGGGGAGCCATTGGCAATGGAATATGTGTTTGGGAGTGGTATGTATCCTCACCTTTTTTCTATTTCTAACCTGTTCGGCTTTTGTAGGCACATGAATGGGTAGACGAGGGCTCTGCTCGGCTGGCGGGAGCTGGGCCTGGTCGTGAGGCTGTGCTGGCAGCCCTGGCCCTACGGAGGGCCCCAGAGCCCAGTGCAGGGACCTTCCAAGAGATGCGAGCCCTGGCCCTGGACCTGGGAAGCCCAGCAGCTCTTCGAGAGTGGGGCCGATGCCGGGCACGCTGCCAAGAGCTGGAAAAGAGGATTCAGCAGCAGCTGGGAGAGGAGGCCAGTCCACGAGGCCCCCGACGAAGACGGGCAGATAGTGCCAGCAGCACAGGGGCACAGCATGGAGCCCATAGCCCTTCACCCAGCCTCAGCTCCCTGCTGCTTCCCAGCAGCCCCGGGCCACGGGCAGCCCCATCACATTGCTCTCTGACTCCGTGTGGGGAGGACTATGAGGAAGAAGGCCTTGAGATGGCTCCAGAGGCGGATGGAAGACCCCCAAGGGCTGTGCTGATCCGAGGCCTGGAAGTCACCAGTACCGAAGTGGTGGACAGAACATGTTCACCCCGAGAACACGTGCTGTTAGGTCGGGCTGGAGGGCCAGACGGGCCCTGGGGAGTAGGTACCCCTCGCATGGAACGCAAACGAAGCATCAGGTGAGTGGGCAACTGTCGTCTCATAAGCAAGCAGAGAGGGCACTATACTGTCGCTCCGGAGTGACACCTCTGCCGCTTTGGTTGTACCCACAGTGCCCAGCAGCGTCTAGTGTCTGAACTGATTGCCTGTGAGCAGGAATACATAACCACTCTGAATGAGCCAGTGCCACCGCCTGGGCCCGAGCTGACGCCTGAGCTCCGAGGCACCTGGGCCGCAGCCCTGAGTGCCCGAGAGAGGCTTCGCAGCTTCCACGGGACACACTTTCTCCAAGAGCTTCAGGGCTGCGTCACCCATCCACTGCGCATTGGGGCCTGCTTCCTTCGCCATGTGAGCAATCCCTACCTCAGGTCTCCTCCCTTCCCGTGCTCTACCCCACCCACCATCCCCCGACCACTGCCGCTCCCCACCCTCTCACCTTGGCCCTGTGTTACTGGTCCTCAAGCTTTGTGTGGACTTCACTGTCTCTCCAAAGAGCCTTTACAATTCCGGGCAGGCAGAGTGCCATCTGCTTCTCCCTCCCTGGGCAGAGGGGATGGGAGAGGAAATCTGTCCACAGGTCGCTCACCCGACGCCTCACTACCTTTTCCTTGCTGGCACAGGGGGACCAGTTCAACCTCTATGCACAGTTTGTGAAGCACAGGCGTAAGCTGGAGAGCGGACTGGCTGCACTCGTTCCCTCAACCAAGGTAAACTGTTCTTCAACTCTTGGAAGAGAAAAGTGGGGCGATGAGAAGGCTGAGCAGGTCAGGACACTTGCCACCAAGGCCAGCAATTGACTTCCATCCCAGAAGCAACATGGTAAAACAAGAGAACTGAGTCCTGTGCTGGTTGTCTTTCTTCTGACTGTGTGTGTGTGTGTGTGTGTGCGCACACTCTCTCTCTCTCTCTGAATAAATAGAATGAAAAAAAAATGTTTTTTAAGAAAAAGAATCAGAAAGACTTAAGAATTCACCCCACTTTGAACTCTTCAGGGAAAGCAGTCTTTCATGGATGTCCCCAGGAGCATTCAGCAGAAATCTCCAGTAACCTCGCACACTTCTGTGTGGGAACCATCAGGGTCGCCTAGCAGTGCAGTGAGAGCCAGGGAGGCTGGGGCTCCTACTGATAGTTCCCCATCGGAGGGAATCTGGGCAAAACTCTTGATTCCTTGAGCCTCTGTTGTTTGTTTGTTTGTTTGTTGGGGTTTTTCTTTATTCCCTTACTTGCTTGCTTTGTTTTGTTATGATTTATTTATTTATTTTTACTTTATGTGTGTAACTGTGTGTGTGTGTTGGGACTAGTGCACAAAAAGGCCCGAAGAGGCTAGCAGATCACCTGAAACTGACACTTGTGAGCCGCGATGTGGGTGCTGGAAACTGAACAAGGTCCTCTGCAAGCGTAAGTGCTCTCAACTGCTGAGCCATCTCTCCAGCCCCAAGGCCTGTTTCCACTATGATAAGTAAGGGCACTACACACTTTGTCAGACTCACTGGGAGCATGAAGATCCAAGGATTTCACATGAAGAGATGTGAGACTGTAAAAGCCAGAGGGCATAAGTTGCCATTACCTGAGCTCCTTTCTAGCACAGGAGGGGCTGCAAGTCTCCTAGAGGCCCCCTGCCTGCTGCTTTATTTTTTAAATTACTGTGTGTGTGTGTGTGTGTGTGTGTGTGTGTGTGTGTGTGTGTGTG